CTACCCACTAAATTGGAGTGGTGGGCCTGAAGGCATCAAAGATGGTAGGAGGCTTGCCAGGCTGGTCAAGAAAGCTTTAAACTAGATGTGTTGGGGGAAGAGGATATCACTCCATTCCAACACTCCCAGTCAGTTGCCAGCACCTATAATAAATGCTCAGAGCAATGTAGAGATATTTCAGCCACTCCAGCCAATGAGCCGGCTTTATTTGGAGCTCAGCTCAGATGCCTCTATACAAATGCCCGTAGCATGGGGAACGAATGAGGATTTAGAGATGTGTGCACGTCTGTGGGGGTATGATATAACAGGCATCACAGAAACATGGTGGGATGGCTCCTATGACTCGAGCATTGGAATGGCAGGTTAGAGGCTCTAAAAAAGACAGGCCCGGCAGATGGGGAGGGGGAGTTGCCCTTTATGTGAGGGATAGGATGGAGAGTATGGAACTGTGTCTGGGGACAGGTGAGCAGTCAATAGAGAGTTTGTGGGTCAGGGTTAAATGGGGAACAGCGATGGGAGACATTACTGTGGGGATCTGTTACAGACCTCCTGATCAAGAGGAATCTGTGGATGAAGCACTCTATAGACAGATAGGAACAGCCTCACGCTCACAGTTCCTTGTTCTCATGGGTGACTTCAACCACCCTGAAATTTGTTGGAATGATGGTACCACCCAGCACAAGCAATCCAGGAGGTTCCTCGATTGTGTGGAAGACAACTTCCTTCTGCAAGTAACAGAGGAGCCAACAAGGAGAGGTGCCATGCTTGACCTTGTGCTCACCAACAGGGAAGGGCTCATTGGAAATGTGATGCTCCAGGGCAGCCTTGGATGCACTGGTCACGAGATGGTTAAATTCGAGATGCTCAGGACAGTGAGAAGAGCGTGCAGCAAGCTCACTGCCCTGGACTTCAAAAGAGCAGACTTTGGCCTCTTCGGGAACCTGATTAGTAAGGTTCCATGGGATATAGCCCTAAAGGGCAAAGGGGCCCAAGACTGTTGGTTGACATTCAAGGATCACCTGCTACAAGCTCAGGAGTGTTGCATCCCAACTAGAAGGAAGTGCAGCAGGAGGGCCAGGAGACCTCCTTGGATGGATAAGGAGATGATGAGGAAACTTTGAGGGGAAAAGGAGGCTTATAAAAGGTTGAAGCATGTCATGCAGCCTGTCAAGAATACAGGGATGTTGTATCACACACAGAGTATCACAGTATGCTGGAGATTGGAAGGGACCTCAAAAGATCATCTAGTCCAATCCCCCTGCCAGAGCAGGAACACCTAGATAACGTTACACAGGAATGTGTCCAGGCGGGCTTTGAATGTCTCCAGGGAAGGAGACTCCACAACCTCCCTGGGCAGCCTGTTCCAGTGTTCCGTCACCCTCACTGAGAAGAAGTTCCTTCTCAAGTTTAAGTGGAACCTCTTGTGTTCCAGCTTATACCCATTACCCCTTGTCCTATCATTGTTTGCCACTGAGTAGAGCCTGGCTCCATCCTCGTGACACTCCCCCTTTATATATTTATAGACACTTATAAGGTCACCCCTCAGTCTCCTCTTCTCTAAACTATAAAGACCCAGCTCCCTCAGTCTTTCCTCATAAGGGAGATGCTCCACTCCCTTAATCATCTTGGTTGCCCTGCGCTGGACTCTCTCCAGCAGCTCCCTGTCCTTCTTGAACTGAGGGGCCCAGAAATGGACACAATATTCCAGATGGGGTCTCACCAGGGCAGAGTAGAGGGGAAGGAGGACCTCTCTCGACCTACTAACCACCGCCCTTCTAATACATCCCAGGATGCCATTGGCCTTCTTAGCCACAAGGGCACAGTGTTGGCTCATGGTCATCCTGTCGTCCACTAGGACCCCCAGGTCCCTCTCCCCTACACTGCTCTCTAGCAGGTCGTTCCCCAACCTATACTGGAACCTGGGGTTGTTCCTGCCCAGATGCAGGACTCTACACTTTCCCTTGTTATATTTCATCCCGTTATTCCCTGCCCAACTCTCCAGCCTGTCCAGGTCTCGCTGGATGGCAGCACAGCCTTCTGGCGTGTCAGCCACTCCTCCCAGCTTAGTGTCATCAGCAAACTTGCTGATAGTACACTCAATTCCCTCATCTAAATCATTGATGAATATATTAAATAATACCGGTCCCAGTACTGACCCTTGAGGCACTCCACTAGTTACAGGCCTCCAACTAGACTCAGCCCCATAGACTACAACTCTCTGGCTTCTCTCCTTCAGCCAGTTCGCAGTCCACCTCACTACCTGATCATCCAGTCCACACTTCCTCAATTTAGCCGTGAGGATGCTGTGGGAGACTGTGTCAAAGGCTTTGCTGAAGTCAAGGTAGACCACATCCACCGCTCTGCCATCATCCATCCACCGTGTTATTTCCTCATAAAAGGCTAAGAGATTGGTCAAACATGATTTCCCCCTGGTGAAGCCATGTTGACTGCCCCTCATAACCCTCTTATCCTTGATATGCTTTAAGATGGCACCAAGGACAAGGTGTTCCATCACTTTCCCAGGGATGGAGGTGAGGCTGACCGGTCTATAGTTACCCGGGTCCTCCTTCTTGCCCTTTTTGAAGACCGGAGTGACATTTGCTTTCCTCCAGTCCTCAGGCACCTCTCCCGTTTCCCAGGACTTGGTAAAGATGATGGCGAGTGGTCTAGCAATGACTTCCGCCAGTTCCCTCAGCACCCGCGGGTGCATCCCATCTGGACCCATGGATTTATGGATGTCCAGATTGCTCAACTGATCTCTAACCCATTCCTCATCGACTAAGGCAAGTCGCTCCGTCGACCTGACTTCATCTAAGGTCTCAGGGGTATAGGGCTCTTCAGGACTGCCTGCAGCAGAGTAGACAGAGACAAAGAAGGCATTCAGTAACTCTGCCATCTCTGCATCTTCTGTCACCAGGGCACCCATCCCGTTCATCAGTGGGCCTACATTGCCTCTGGTGTTAGTTTTGTCTGCCATGTACTTGAAAAAGCTCTTTTTGCTGTCCTTGACCCTTCTTGCCAGGTTTAATTCTGAGGAAGCCTTAGTCCTCCTAGCTGCCTTCCTACATCCCCTAGCAGCAGCCTTATATTCCTCCCAAGTGGCCAGCCCCTCCTTCCATGACCTGTAAACTCTCCTCTTCCACTTGAGCATACCCAGCAATTCCCTATTTAGCCACACAGGTCTCTTGGCCCTCTTCCTTGACTTCCTACGTGTCGGGATGCTCCGATCTTGAGCACGGAAAAAGCAGTCCTTGAATGTCAACCGACTATCTTGGGCCCCTTTTCCTTCAAGCAGCCTTGCCCATGGGGTTAGGAAAAGCTAAGGCCCAGTTAAAATTAAACTTGGCTAGGGATGTGAAAGATAAAAGGAAGGGATTCTATAGGTACATTGTGAATAAAAGACAGACTAGGGACAACATTGGCCCTCTCAGGAAGCTATCAGGAGAACTGGCTTATCTGGATTTGGAGAAGGCTGAGGTTCTGAATGACTTCTTGGCCTCGGTCTTCATTGGCAAAGTCTCTGACCACACCATCCAAGTCTTGGAAGGCAGACACAGGGACTGTGAGAATGAGGACCCTAGACCCACTGTAGGAGAAGATATGGTTTAAGACCATCTTAAGAACCTGACAGTGCGCAAGTCCATGGGACCTGATGAAATCCATCCACGGGTCCTGAAGGCGATGGCAAATGAAGTTGCGAAGCCACTGGCCATCATATTTGAAAAATCTTGGCAGTCAGGTGAAGTTCCTGACGAGTGGAAAAAGGGAAATATAACCCCATTTTCAAGAAGGGGAAAATGGATGACCTGGGGAATTACAGACCAGTCAGTCTCACCTCTGTGCCTGGCAAAATCTTGGAGAAGATTCTCCTGGAAGGCATGCTAAGGCACATGAAAATCAACAAGGTGCTTGGTGACAGCCAGCATGGCTTCACTAAGGAGAAATCCTGCCTGACCTATTTGATGGCCTTCTGTGATGGGGCTACAGAACTGATGGACAGGGGTAGAGCAGTTGATGTCATCTACCTTGAGATGTGCAAAGCGTTTGACACTGTCCTACATGACATCCTTGTCTCTAAAGTGGAGAGACATCAATCTGATGGATGGACCACTCAGTGGATAAAGAACTGGATGGATGGCTGCATGCAAAGATTTGTGGTCAATGGCTCAATGTCCAGCTGGAGACCAATAACAAGTGGTGTCCCTCAGGGATCTGTGTTGGGACATGGACAGTGGGATTGAGCATGCCCTTAGCAAGTCTGCTGATGATACCAAGCTGTGTGGTTCAGTTGATATGCTGGAGGGAAGGAATGCCGTCCAGAGGGACCTTGACACGCTTGTGAGGTGGGCTGATGGATGCCAACCTTATGAAGTTTATCCATGCCAAGTGCAAGGTCCTAGAGCTGGGTCTGAGCAATCTGAGGCACAGCTACAGGTTGGGCAGAGAAGAGATTCAGAGCAGCCCTGTGGAGAAGGACTTCGGGGTGTTGGTCAAAGAGAAGAAACTTAACATGAGCCGGAAGTGTGCGCTCGCAGCCCAGAAAGGCAACCTTATCCTGGGCTGCATCAAAAGGAACGTGACTAGCAGGTTGAAGGTGGTGATCTTGCCCCTATACTCTACTCTCGTGAGACCCCACTTGGAGTATTGTGTACAGTTCTGGTGTCCTCAACATAAAAAGGACATGGAACTGTTGGAACAAGTTCAGAGGAGGGCCACGAGGATGATCAGGGGACTGGAACACCTCCTGTATGAAGAGAGGCTGAGAAAGTTGGGGCTTTTTAGCCTGGAGAAGAGAAGGCTGCGTGGAGACCTCATAGCAGCCTTCCAGTATCTGAAGGGGGCCTACAAGGATGCTGGGGAGGGACTCTTCATTAGGGACTGGAGTGGTAGGAGAAGGGGTAACAGGTTCAAACTTAAACAGGGGAAGTTTAGAGTGGATATAAGGAAGAAGTTCTTTACTGTAAGAGTGGTGAGGCACTGGAATGGATTGCCCAAGGAAGTTCCGAATGCTCCATCCCTGGCAGTGTTCAAGGCCAGGCTTGACAGAGCCTTGTGTGACACAGTTTAGTGTGAGGTGTCCCTGCCCATGGCATGGGGGTTGGAACTGGAGGATCTTCAGGTCCTTCCCAACCCTAACTATTCTGTGATTGTTTGATCCCATGAGCTTTTAACAAAGATTTTCTATTTTTTGTAGAGTTTGAGGACTTCCCGTCATAAACAGGAGGGTAGGAGATGTGCAGAAAACAGTTCTTTGTGTGTTCTCATTGCAATGGTCTGTTATGTTTACCCCCCCTACTCAAGACTTTCCTTATTTAATTTTTTTGGTGGGCCATATGCCACACTCATTTTGATGTTCCTTTGAGCTTTGTCAAATATTAATATTCTTTTTCCTGCACTGTGTCTAGAAGCCAAAGACACAGGTGAATTTACTTTTCTCATTACATCATATGATTCATATCCCCTACTGTTATGTTTCAAAATAGACCGGACATCTTGGATAAAAAGGTCCCAACATCATCAGGCTGGCAATACCTGCTAAAAGGTTTTAGGAATGTCCTGTGAATTTAAATAGTTTCAGTGTGTTGAAGAAGGATTTAGGGTAACTGAACCCTTGTTGTTAAACAAGACAAGATACAATTACATTTATCCTATATTTAGTATATGAACTACTCAAACTTTTTAATTTCTAAATTTCAGGTTATCTCCTTAATGTGTGTAGAAGTCAGAATGATTAGAAAAGGATTTTTTAAATTGTTGTACCAGAACAATGCAGAAACACTAGGTATGTGCTTCATGTACACCCTGAAGAAATTCAAGTTAGTCATGCAACTTTCATTAACATCTAATAAATCATACAAAACTAGAAATATAACAGTTCTTGATAGAAGGTATTATAAGCTGTGAAAAACAAATCACACTGCAAGTCCTGCTGCACTGCAGGTACTTTTGAAAATAGATTGTTTCATTGGAGATAATGTTCTGCCATAGGTTATTCTATCTACCAGGACTCTTCTTCTAGGCTTTGGAAGAATCACATCAGCATAGTTTTCAATCAACTGTCTTAAATGTATAATCTCAAAGATGAAGCATGTACCTCTGAAAGTTTTTGGAAAGTGTTGAGACTGAAAAAAAGAGCTCTCTGAATACAAGTTGAACTGATCTAAATAAAATCAGATGTATAAATCTACCTCTGTCTTCTGAATTCTAAAACAGCAGAATAACAAGAACTAGTCTTTCATGGTTTAACCCAAGCCAGCTGTGGAGACAGTGTTCTCACAGGAGAATGCATAATTGGTACATAAACTCTGAATAATCCTGGAAGATACAGCAAGGCCATGAGAGGCCCAAAGAAGCTTAAGCAAGCAAGATAAGAGGCTGGAATTCACCGAGTTAATGAGAACTGTGGACTATTGGCAAGCTTTTGAGGTCGAGTTCTCACACCTGTGTTTAACCAATTATATGTTAGTCACTAAGGGTCTTCAGGACATGTATCCAATCATAATATGCCAAATCACTGTACGTGCATGTAAGAAATAGCATATAAGGGGTTAAGGATTTGTATAAAACGAACAAGAAGCATAACGCATATTGAGTCATTCTCTTGATTCCGGTCACTCTCTCCGACAGCCAGCAACTAAGCACCGCCCAGCTGCTTGCTTGTTCCCTGAAGGTGGGCTAGGGGAGAGAGCTGGAAGAGGAAAACATGAGAAAACTTGTAGATTGAGAGGACAGTTGAACAGGTAAAGTAAAAGCCACACACAAACAAAGCAAAACAAGGAATTCATACACTTCGCATTGGCAGGCAGGTGTTCAGCATGAGCTGAGCATGACACCATACAATATGGGATATCCCTATGGTCAGTTGGGGTCAGCTGTCCTGGCTATGTCCCTTCCCAGTTTCTTATGCACCCCCAGCCTCCCCACTGGTGGGGTGGTATGAGGAGCAGAAAAGGCCTTGACTCTGTGTAAGCACTGCTCAACAAGAACAAAAACATGCCTGTGTTACCAACACTGTTTGCAGCACAAATCCAAACCATAGTCTCATACCAGCTAAAATGAAGAAAATTAACTCTATCCCAGCCAAAGCCATCATGTAGTCCAAAACAGAGGATGGCTGGGACAGAGTCAGACAGTAATCCTTAAAGTGTAATATTCTGAGTCATGAGTGAAGAAAAATTATTCCAGTCCTGTGTAGAAGTCCAGGAAAAACTATTTTTAAGTGGTTGTTATCATATTTTCTACATAGAGGTGATTTCCACCGTTGGGATCTATGGATTAAATAAATCATGACAGAGGAAACATTACTGTATCTGAAAAGTAAATATAAATGAGTTTTGCACCAGGTTCATTCTTCACAATTAATATGGCAATTTATGTGGCTAATTTCTTTTTTAATAATTTAGCTAGAAAGCAGAGCCTAAATTATAAATTGAACTCTAATATTAATCTCTTTGTGATGTTCAGTGGTCATTGAAAATAATTCTGTACTTATTGGAAATTTTATCGTAAATCTCTTCAAAATATTATTAGAGTTAAAACTTTAGTACAACTATAAAAGGATTAGAGATTTATGAAAATTCGGGGAAACATGCAAAATGAAAGCAATTTACTTTCTTTTTCAGGTATGGAGTTTCTTGTACTCCATATGAACCACTGATTACTGAGAGAAGATACTTGACATAATATTTCCAGTGGCAAATTTCCAAAATCAATAAAATAACTTTAGGCATGAATTTGACCCAGTGAGGTTTATTGAACCACTGGGTTATTGACCTAAGAGAACTGTGCAGCCTTCATTCAACTGGATATTTAACAAGGCACCAAAATTTGCTTCAATATTGAACACCAATTTGAACTGAGAGTTCAGATCATGGCTTACTAATTGATTTTAGATAGCATGTTACTGATTTAAACTGAAGGCTTTGAGCAGCAGCAGTGTATGCAAGATCATAGAATAACTCATGTTGGAAAGTAGCTCAAGAGACCATATTGTCTGACTGCCTGTTCAAGTGGTGGGATCAGATGAGGTTGCTCAAGACCCCATCAAACCAGTTCTCAAAAACCTCTGGGGATGGGAATTACACATCATTTTTGAGAAAAACAATCCACTGAAGAGCCGCACATTGCTGCAATTATTCCTTCCCAAGTATAGCAGGAATTTTGGCTATTGGCTAAGGTTGCTTAGAAAGGCAGATGGGCATAAAGAAGAAATCTGATACTAGAATCACAGAATGGTTAGGGTTGGAAATGACCTTAAGGTTGTCTAGCTCCAATTCCCCCACCATAGGCAAGGACACCATGTTGCTCAAGACCATGTCCAGCCTGGCCTTGAACACTGCCAGGGATGGAGCATTCACAACCTCCCTGGGCAACCTATTCCAGTGCCTCACCACACTAACAGGAAAGAATTTCCTCCTTATATCCAACCTAAACTTCCCCTGTTTAAGTTTAAATTGATTACCCCTTGTCCTACCACTACAGTCCCTGATGGAGTCCCACTTCAGCATCCTTGTAGGCCCCCTTCAGATATTGGAAGGCTGCTATGAGGTTTCCACACAGCCTTCTCTTCTCCAGGCTGAACAGCCCCAACTTTCTCAGCCTCTCTTCATACGGGAGGTGTTCCAGTCCCCTGATCATCCTCGTGGCCCTTCTCTGGACTTGTTCCAACAGTTCCATGTCCTTTTTATGTTGAGGACACCAGAACTGTACACAATACTCCAAGTGAGGTCTCATGAGAGTAGAGTACAGGGGCAAGATCACCTCCTTTGACCTGCTGGTCATGCTCCTTTTGATGCAGCCCAGGATACGGTTGCTTTTCTGGGCTTCAAGCACACACTGCCGGCTCATGTTAAGTTTCTTCTCTTTGACCAACACCCCGAAGTCCTTCTCCACAGGGCTGCTCTGAATCTCTTCTCTGCCCAGCCTGTAGCTGTGCCTGGGATTGCCCTTCAGTATTTTTTCTTGTCTTTTTTTACCGCGACGCTTCCCAGTCTGTCTTTTTTACATTATTTTGGGTCTCTTCCCAATTTATTTGTCCAAAGTGGCATTTAAACAGTCATTTTCCTATTCAGCTGTCACTTGGATTTTCTTTCAGTCAGTAATGAAGTATTCTGAAGTAACCTTTTCATTAATTATATTTGTTTACACATATATATATGTACCTCTAACTGATATTGTTGTCAAACATACAAGGTAATATATGATAGATATGTATTTTCAATACTAGGGAAAAGCTTGAAATTATTTAAATTCACCTTTACCTTGAGCTAGGTGCAAACTAGTAAAAGCTGAAGTCTCAGGACTTCTGGGAGTGAGAAATGTGCCTGTGGAGCTCTGAAATGTATAAAAGAACACTAAAAGGAGCAGTTTTGTTATCTCTAGATACCTAGTCTAGAATTTGCTTTATGTGGGTCTGAACCTCCACTGGCATTCTTAAGGTCCCTGAAGAATGAAAAAAAAATTTTTGAAAAATGCAAGATGACCCAGATAAAATGCTCTGTCACTGCAATCCCACCCTCCACTATTGTAATGGAGACTGTTATTACTGCCTACCACAAATAGTCTATATATTATCCTGTTAGTATGAGCTAATTGCCCTTTTTGGTTTTAATTTTTTAATCATTTTGCTAAGTATCCTCTCTTGGTTTTAATTTTTATTATAAGCATTTAGGGTTTTTTATATTCTATTCATCCATATCCAACAAATATTATCTCAATCATACAGCATTTTCTGCTGCTGAGGGAGGCAGCTCAGATTCCAGAGACTTGCATATAAAAGCAGAATTTTGACCTAAATTTCCTTGTCAGGGAAGGCTGAGGTGGTTGGGTGGACATTAAAAGAAATAATTCAAATGCTGCAAGTATATGTGCTAATTTGAGCTTGAGTGATACCTTATCTTCTTTTCCATTTGTTTGCTCGTGTACACATCTAATATTGAAAAGAAATAACTAGTACTAATAGATATGAATTTAGTTATTGTAGATCTAGTAAGATTACAAGAGATGGAAAAACTAAAATATTTTATGCAAAAATTTGTATACACTTACTTTTA